AACCCCTGCTACCACCAGCTGCTCCCCTCTTGGCAGGCCAGCTACGAAGTCCTTGAAATCCAGACTAAGTAAACTACCCCGTGGTGCCGCCTGCGAGGGAAAATATGCCGCAAGCAGCCTCATCTGCCTTGTCCCCCAACACAGACGAGCATGGAGTAACCTGCCTGACGGATGCCGCTAAACATCCTCCAGCTCCACCCCTCTCGAAAGAAAAGGTTAGCCACCCCTTCCGCTCTGGTCGGGGCTGCGGCAGCAGACACTCTGTGAGGTCGAAGTTCCGTCCATAATTTGTGATCTTCAGCTCTGCGCGTGTCTGCAATAATCATCCATCGCTTGAGTGTTTGTTGCTTCCCCTGGCTCCCCAAACCGTTGACGTTCGTTGTCAGTACCGTTAGTCAATTGGTGTTATCCATTGTATGAATACATGCATTGGTGTCAATTGGTGTTATGCATTGAGGCCCCCAGTCATCCACAAGGCGGTGTTACAGCATGGCACGATGACACTATACTGCCTGAGATACAACATATAACTGCGACACCAACTCCTAAACACGACATCTGCCTCTCTCTGCTCCGAGTAGTTGCCTTTTTCCTCTCCCCCTTCCATAGGGTGCTGCTACCAGGTTCACACACCGAACTCCTTCGTCGCGACCAGGTTGACACCTGCCTTGGAACTGCGCGACGCAGAGCCAGACACCAGCCTATCGCAGTGCCGCTTGGAGTCCACATGCTCCACTGCCCCGCTCGCTTTCTCGTAGTTCTCCTGAAGACAAATCCATTCCTTGTGCCACCCCCCAGTTGAGATCAACACCACCGCTGGGTCCTTCAAAATAAGCCCGGTCAGATCTGTGATCCAGACTAAGGCGGCTGCGCGGATTCGACACACCCTCAACGTTAGAATCACACTACTGTTGAAACGACAAGCGCGGGCAAAACAGGCAAAAGGGACCCATCCCCCACCCATTATCATTGATCCCAGGAACCCGTCCCAAGGACAAACTCCAGTTGCTGATATTGTTCTGCTGCTCCATAATGTAGTCGTCATGGTACCTCGTCATGTGATACTCCGAACAGTAAGCAAAGCTCTGGGACGGGTAATGCACCAGCAACTGCTTGTCTTGGAAGGTTGGGTCCTCAATCAGGTGATGCCAGCGGTACTTATCACAATCGTGCTGTTTCACCATTTTCTTCACTTTGTCCGTGTCCATCCCCGTGACAGGGTTCACCACCCGATGGAAGCAGCATCCCTCCTTAAAAGCCGACCGACCCCGCTTCTCCAGCTTCACCTTCACTAGCATCTCACACAGCATCTCTGGCGTGATCACCGCACTAATACTCTTAAACAGAACTTTGACCAGCAGCGGGTCTACAGCTCGCGCCTTAACGTAAGCTGGGTGAACCGGATGCTGCCAATTTAAGTTAATACAGTTCCCGTCGAGGCGCGTATGCACGATCCCGTGCTTTCACACGAAGTTGGCATCATGGGCTCGCTCAAAGGTAACTTGCAGCCGGCAATAGTGCTTCTTGTTCAAAAACACTGCTGACAGTTCCTGAAATTTTGTCGTTGCCTGAATCTCTATGATTAGATCCTTCTTCCACAGGTTGAACAGCGCGCGCAACGTCGCCTGCACGCGCGTCGCTTCCAGCTTGAATGCGATCTAGATCAGCAGGACAATGGCGAAACGGATCCGTTGCGCATCATACCGCTCCTCCGGGTCGTCACTGAGGTAGCCACCGTCTTCCTCGTCGTCGCCCTACTTAGAAGACTTGTTAACCGCATCTTCTCTCTCTTTCTGCAGAGACTCGCCAGCCACCCTGCTCCCAGCATTGGTCTTGTTTGCGCCTTCTGAGTGCTGCGACTTGTCACCGGCACCTGTAGCAAGTAAGTCCGGAGCCGCTTTCCTTCATGCCTTGTATTGACGCAGCAGGCTGAAGGGCTTCCTTGTCCGCCTCTGTAAATAGGTCAGCGGTGCGCTTGACGGCCGATGATGCTGTAACGCCAGCCAGCACTGCCGCCTACTTAAGCTTGTCCAAAGTAGCTCCCATAGATCCATCAGTGGGACGGACCTCGCCATTCCTCGTAGTCCTCCTGAACATAGTGCTATGATGAACACGGCAGAGTCTAGAACCTCTCTGAGCCACTGACCGAGCACAACCATAGCACATCCAGGATCTTTTGAATACCTTAACTTGAATCCTCTCGAGCACGATAGTCTTGAAAGTAGTTTGCTGCCGTAATTCTATTGGATATTGTTGACCAATGAAGTGCGATAATGAAATCTGTATAGAGACCATCGTTGACGACTTAGGAAACATGTGGCACTCCTGAAACTTGTCGCGCTAAACAGCCGAAGAGTTTGACGCGAGATCTTGGAGTTAGTAGCGGAATAGTCAAGGAGACCCCTTGCAGCATAAGGCACAATGTCCGTCAAGTGGACACGAGAAGTGTACCTACTGTTTCGTAACGTTAAGGCAGTTTCGAAACTACTATTATTGTTACCACTGATACATGCTCTTTACAAACGAGCCTCTTAAAGCCATCAGGCGGGATCCATGGCGGACCTGTTATTTGCACAACGAATGTAAGGGCGTGTAAAATCGAGAACTTACATTATTCTGCCGCAATCCGTCGGGCCGTTCCTGCGAAGGTAACCAGTTGGCGACATTTGGCATTCGAGTGGCGACAGTCGCAATTTTAACAAAAAAGTGTAACAAATTTGATGGCCGTTTAGAAAGTCGACACGAAAATGACGCCGACTCGACTTCAAAACGGACTTCCGCCTGCAACGTTGCACGGTATCGCCGAACGACAAAATTTGTGATATCGTCAAATGGGATAGATCACCGTCAAGTTTGCGACCCCGTCGCACAAAGCCATCTATTGTAGTAACTCCAAATTTTTCGAAGGTAAAATTGGCAAACTTGCAAATGGTGGCTGAAATTTGGACAACTCGAACTCGGCCACCAAGTCGGCATTCGCGAAAGAAATGTCGACCAAAATGGTCGATGGAAATTCTGCCAAACCCCAATTTCAAACTTGCACGGGGATTTTACACGCCCTAACTCTACGTCTTGTGTGGGCTTGTCATTTTTTTTTGGTTGTAACTATATTATCCAACATAGATACATCCACAGTCGTAACTGTGTGTGGGCTTGTCATGTGGTTCGGTTTGAAGAGGCGAGAGTCACACCTGGGTGACGCGAGTCTGCCCAGGTTCGGCGTGACACCCCCACAGCACAGCATGTTAAACTGTATTATGCTTGTAGGCTGTAGTGGGGTAGCCAATATGGGGTACAACCCCAACTAGGGTTTCATATTTGTACCCAAACTTCTGTTAGTTCATTCATTCTTGCCTAGTTATTCTGAAATGGTATTCAGAGCAGGAGGTCCCTAGGACCTACCGACCGTTTTTTTTTAAGGGCCCACCACCGCTCGCATGCGGTTACCACGCTACCCCGTGCCCTAGCCTCGTAGCGCCCTCGTGCGCCCTCGTTAGCGCCCTCGCGCGCCCCTCGTTAGCGCCCTCGCGCGCACCCTCGTTAGCGCCCTCGCGCGCCCCTTCGTTAGCGCCCTCGCGCGCCCCTTCGTTAGCGCCCTCGCGCGCCCCTTGCTAGCGCCCTCGCGCGCCCCTCACTAGCGCCCTCGCGCGCCCCTCGCCGAGCCGCCCGCTCGCAGCCCGCCCGCCCGCTCGCTGCCCGCTTCGCGGCCCGCTCGCTACGCAGCCCGCCCGCCCGCTCGCTGCCCGCTTCGCGGCCCGCCCGCTTCGCAGCCCGCTCGCTCGCTGCCCGCTTCGCGGCCCGCCCGCTTCGCAGCCCGCTCGCTCGCTGCCCGCTTCGCGGCCCGCCCACTTCGCAGCCCGCCCGCCCGCTCGCTGCCCGCTTCGCGGCCCGCCCGCCTCGCAGCCCGCTCGCCCCGCTGCCCGCTTCGCGGCCCGACGCCCTTCGCGAACACTGACGACGAATTTCTTGGTCGACCAAATTGTCGACCAGAGCCCCGTTCGCTGCAATACTAGATGCATTAGGGTGCGTCAGATCCGTTGTCGAAAAAATCCGGCCGGCCTGAATTAGCGAAAGTAACGCATTTGCAACAATCGCACAAATTTTCGAGCACTTCGCCATATCCGGCCATTTGTTAAAAGATTGATGGCCGGTTCAGCATTCGACAAAGTTCCGACGTGCAGTCGTCTCGCCAGTCGACCAATTTGTCGACCTGAAATCGCTACAGTAACTACGCGACGTCGCCAATTCGTGCGACGCAACGTGTCACACAAGTATTGGATCTGCGACTGCGTCGCACAAACCGGCCACCCTCGCGACCTGCTAATCTGACACATTTGCAAAGCGGCCTGCAAATCGGCCACCAAATGTGTCAGATTTTTCGGCCCTGTAAATGTGGCCGGATATTGGTCGTTTTTTATGTCGACCCTGTTGTCGACTTTGGCGAAAGATTTAGTCGACCAAATTGTCGACCGAGTTCCAGCCATGTTATGAGTTGTCAAACAGAGTTGCGCGGAATAACGAATAACGAGGCTGTGACTCAATGAATTGACGATACAATGAAAGACATGCGATTATATAGCGAGGCAACCTAACTAGGCGGGAACCTCGGGAACACGAGGTTGAGTGCAGGTTGGGCAAAGGAAAGCCGAAGGCGACGCGAGGTTGCTTCGGCAGCAAGCAAAGCGGCCGAACGTGCACTTCCGAAAGTTGGGGTTGTACGCACTTGAGTAAACCCCAGTAAGGAAAAAGGGTTTTTCCTTACAAGCCAAATCACTTTGTAACGGATCTGACGCACCCTTAGGAACACGGCAGAAGCCCAAGTCAACACGACACACGGCACTGCCCTCGCAACCGTTCTCGTGCAACTTTGTCCTGCTTGCTTGGCGAGCATGAGGAGATGCGGTCTTGCTTTTTCGTAGATTAAAATACCATGAAACCTGTCGTAAGCTGGATACGTTCACTCGAGATCAATTCATTCCGGCACTACCACGAATTGTACCATGTCGTTTCTGCCGTTCCCCCTCTTCCCCGCCTTCTCGGCCCCTTCCCCTCCTCCGTCGCCGATCGAGGAGGTCCTATCCGACGATTACCTTCTCTCGCTCGTGCTGCGGTCGATCACGCGCGACTCATTCCATTACGCGCTTGTCTCCAAGCGATGGTACGCCGCAGCGCGGATCTCTCTCGCGCACCTCACAATCAAATCTGACATCCGATGTTCCGTTCTTCTAGACACGATTCGCACATTTTCCTCGCTCACGCACCTCGAGCTTCAAAGGTGTCGCGTTCTGTATCCGAACGGCGATGCTCTCTTCCAATGCCTGGGCGCCACGTGTCCGCATTTAACACATTTAACCGTGGACTGCCAGTTTCGCATGCCCGTCTCTTGCAACAACCTCTCGACTCTCTTCCACGGCTGTCGCAAGCTCCGCCACCTCCGCCTGCTCACACTCCACCACCTCCCGCACCTCCCGCCCGACGTCACCCTCCTCTCCGACCTCAGAACTCTCCATCTCTGCCGCTGCGAAGGCTACAACGGCTCGAATGCCAATAACGGTGGGGATCAACTCGAGCATCTCATCGCGCCGCCGGAGAGCATCGGCGCGCTGCAGCGGCTGCAGGAGCTGCGCGTGGCAGCAGGGTCGGCGTTCCAAGGTCTCCCCGATTCCATCGGCAGCCTCACCAACCTCCAAAGCTTGACCTTCGCCAACCCTTCTCTCTCTGACCTCCCCACCTCCATTGGTCGCTTACCGCATCTGCAAACCCTAGGGATCGAAATGGAGAAGTTAGAGTGGATCCCGGATTCCTTCCAGCACCTCACCCGCCTTCGTTCCTTGTCGCTGCACTCCAAGTGTTTGACGCGCGTGCCCGAGCATGTGATGGGGGCGATGCTGCGATTGAAGGCGCTTTCTCTCTGTTGCGAGTCCCTCCAGAGCCTGCCGGACACCATCTGCTCCCTCCCCCTCTCCTCTCTCTCCCTCTCATGCCCTAAAATCACCTCCCTTCCCGATAATCTTGGAGCCCTCATACAGCTGGAAACCCTACAACTCCAGAGTCTTCCCTACCTTAGGTGTGTGCCCGAGAGCATGGGAGACCTTCAGCGATTGAGATCGCTGGAAATCAACCAGCTGGGCCTGCTGCGGCAGCTGCCCGAAAGTCTATGCACGGGGAGTGTGAGACACAGCCTTGAGAAGCTGTACCTGCGCGACTGCGGCGAACTGAAGCAGCTGCCGGCCCAGATGGCCATGCTGACGCGCCTGCAAGAGCTCGAAATCACCTGGTGCTCTCTCCTCAAGTCCGTAGAGCCATTGCTTGCTCCGCATCCCCAACTGGGTGTGACCGCCTCCCTGGCTCCTGACCTTGAACCTCGCCCTCCTCTTGACCCTGCTCCTGCTTCTGCCACTGTCGCTCCTACAGCCACTGCTGCCGGCCCCACCAGTGCTTGCAGTACCACGTCCAACACGTCCAGCGAACCACAGGCACAGCCACAGCCACAGCCGCAGCCGCAGCCGCAGCCGCAGCCGCAGCCGCAGCCGCAGCACGGTGAGGAGCAGCGCAGTGCACAGCAGCCGTGGGGCCTGGCGTCTCTCACCAGCCTTTCACTGTGCGCCTGCTCACGAATCACTTCTCTCCCTGATTCCCTCTCCACGCTCTCTGCCCTCTCTTCCCTCACCCTCACCCACATGAACCGCCTCCCCAGCCTGCCAGAGCCCCTTGGACAGCTGGAAAACCTCAGGGTCCTGAAGCTCCAACACATGGAAAAGTTATCTGTGCTGCCCAAGTCACTCGGGCAGCTAAAACACCTCGAAACGCTGGAGCTGTGCTATTTACCTGAGCTGAACTCTCTGCCCGGGTCACTCCGTTGGCTGCCAAAGCTGAAAGAGCCCTTGCTGATTGATGTGGGGAGGGTGACAGAGTGGTGGTGGATTGACTACCTCCCATCTGTTCGGTCCGCCAGAATGCGCCTAATGATTCACTGAAAGGGCCCATGCAGCCCCCGTTCTTCCCAGCATTGCATGCTCAATCATCGCTTCATGGTCTCACCTTACCAGAGTGACAGCTTGGTGGTGGTCAGATGGGCCATTCCCCAATAACTTTCAAATGCAGGGTAGTAGTAGCCTTCCACATAGCCCTTATTGTATTGTAGTGTTGCAGCTGAGTTGCTGTACATGTGGTATTGTAAGAGGAAAGATGTAAATACCGGTATGTAAGATGTCTGCATCTTGGACTCTTGTGCACGCAAGATCACAACAGTGTTAACAAGAATGAGCACTAGGACAGTGCGATTCTGATGCAATGAAATACCGTATCTGAGTTGACAACTTCCTGCTGAACATGCAGTGTGACATTGTTGCCTTCCAACAAAAAGAAACAAGATTCGACGTTTACGTAGGAAGGGTCGCGTAGGCTTGCATCCCTTGTATTAGAAAGATTATGTTAGAAACATTATGATAGAGTACATACTGTCAGAATGTGATGTTTGTCTAGCCTGCAGTGGGGTACTCTATAGCGAGTACAGTCCAAATTAGGGATTGTGAAAGCTTGCGATTTGCCTTGCAAATGCAACGTCTCATTTCAACTGGCAAGTACAGGATTTTGTCAGAATGAGAACTACAGCGGAATGTGTTGCATTGACAGAATTGGGGTACATAACCTAACCCTAACTAGTTGTACCCCATATAGCCCAACCCACTACAGGCTATAATATTTGACACACCCCCATAGCCTAAGTGGGGAAGGCCAATCAACAACAAGCAACCTACGGTCACAAGACCAGTCAAAAGCAAGAGAAAGAAAACAAAGCTCAGGGTGGATCACAACGTCACCACCTAATCTGAGCACAAGCAAAGGGCCACAAGGCCAGTCCAAAAGTGTGCAAACAAATATATATAAGGTACAAGCAAGCAACAGACAAAGAGCACCCTACAGCAGTCAACTAGACCCAGTCTCAACGAGGCCTAACTGCAGACATTACCGGCGGTGGTCACAAGGCTGGAGGGCCTTGGTGAAGATGTCTGCAGTGTTGGCCTCGGAGGCCACAAAGTCCAGACGAGCCTGCCCGCGTCTCTGCAACTCTCGAAGGAGGAAGTACCTGACGTCGATGTGCTTCACTCTGCTCTCCAGTCGAGGCTCACGACGTAGGAGAATCATCGCCCTGTTGTCAGCAAACAGGGTCGGTGCAGAGCTCGGCCGCTCACCAAGGTCAGTGAGCAAAAAGGTCAACCAGCGTAGCTCCTGAGCAGCAAGGGCCCCAGCGTAGATCTCGGCCTCTGCGGTAGAAGTCGCAACAGAGGAGGACCGAGTAGACCTCCACGAAACAGCTCCAGAACCCAGGCTGAAACAGTAACCCTGCGTAGACCTCTGAGTCTCAACGTCGTCGGCGTAGGAGGAGTCGCAGTGACCGGTGAGTACAACTGGCTGTGTCCCTCCAAGTACAAGCCCCATGCCTGATGTCGCGCCAAGGTACTTCGCCACCCTCTTAGCCGCCGCCCAGTGAACAGGACGGTGTCTCCCAGTCGCAACAAAGCGAGACAGGATGCTAAGAGGGAAGGCGAGGTCCGGGCGAGTGCACGTCATCAGGTACATGAGGCAGCCCACCAGCTCTGCGTAGGGACCACTGGGCTCGAACGGCTCGTCAGGAAAAGGCCCAGTGAGTCTGTGGTCTACAGCAAGAGGGGTGGGTGCAGGAGAAGAGTCCTGAAGCCCGAACCGCTGAAGGACCTGCTGCACCATGTGTGACTGAGTCAGAGTGATGGTGCGAGCGGCTCTGTCCCTGGAGATCTGCAGGCCAAGGTAGCGGCGCAGTTCCCCAAGGTCAGTGCAGGTGTGTCTCTTCTGCAGTTCGGACTTCACCTCCGCCAGTGCAGCTGTGTCGGCTGTGGCAAAAACCAAGTCGTCAACGTAGACCAGAACGAAGAAAGGTGTACGGCCACGACGAACAAACAGCGACGGGTCGGCGGAAGACGGCTCAAACCCGAGGTCGGAGAGAGTAGAGCGGAGAGTGTCGTGCCACTCACGGGGTGCCTGGCGGAGACTGTAGACCGGTCGTCTGAGGCTCCACTGGGTCCCAGGCGGGAAAGTGCCAGTGAAGCCCGGAGGACGACGCAGCCAGATCTCCTCGTGTAGGCGGCCCTGGAGGAAGGCAGTGGAGAAGTCAAGAGAGTGTAGCTCGTAGTCTCTCTGCGCTGCTACGTGCAGTAACACCCAAAGAGTGGTCATCTTCGGGGTGGGCGCGAAGGTCTGAAAGAAGTCAACCCCCTCGCGCTGACTGAACCCTCTAGCCACGTAGCGTGCCTTGAAGACTGGGGGAGATCCCGGCGGCCGCTTCACCTTGAAGATCCACATGCCGTCAACAATGTTCGCCCCTGGGGGGGGAACCTCGTCAACGTAAGTGCCTGTGGACCTGTAGGAGGCCATCTCTGCGTCCATGGCAGCTCTCCACTGAGAGGCCCAAGGCCCTGACACTGCCTCAGCGTAAGTGCGAGGAGTAGGTATGTCAGGAGCGTCGGGGTCTCCCTCAGGAGTGAGCAGCATGGCACAGAGATGAGGCGAAGCAGCTGCCAGGAACTCTAGCTCAAACTGTCTGTCCTCTAGGACGTCACAGCCAAGGGCAGACACACCCCCGGCGGACAGAGGACGGACAGGAGGAGCGGCCAAACCTCGAGTGGCGTAGTCAAGGCGACGCGTAGCAGTAAAGTCAGTGACAGCGGCAGTGAGGACCGCGACGGAGGAAGGAGAGGCACGAGGGTCTGTAACAAGAGAGGCGAGAACACGAGAGAGAGTGGGGCGGTACGTGCGGTAGTAGTCAGTGACCGGAGTGGACAGGGAGGCAGTGAGGGAAGACTCAGGAGGACGAGGAAGGACAGACGGAGGAGAACGAGGAGGACTAGGACGAAACAACACGGTACGGAGGTCAGTGACAGGGGACGAGGGACGAGCACGAGGAGGGTGAGAGGCCCAAGTGTGGGCGAGAGGAGGGGGGGACGGAGGAGACTGAGAACGAGGGAAGACAGCCGGAGTGGAGTCCGGAGGAGGAAACGTAGGACCGAACACAGGAGGAGAGGAGGGGAGACCAAGGGCCCGAAGGCCAGAAACAGGGGCCGGAGGCTGCTCCGGCTGCTGCGGCGGCTGCTGCTACTGCTATGGCTGTGGCTGCGGCTGCTGCTGCTGCTGCTGAAACTCCAACCGCTCACGCTCCACCCGCTGCTGAACCTCCGACCTCTCACGCTCCAAACGCTGCTGCTCCTCACGCTCTAGACGAAGAAGGGCCTGGTAACGAGTCGGGTAGGGGTGAGGAGGAGGAGTGGTGTCAGGAGACGACGAAGAAGAACCGGCTCCACCCTCGACAGGACCCGGCTGAGCACCCCCAGAGCGAGGACCCCCTGCGGCAGCACGACCAGTACCTGTAGGAGGTGTACCCGCACCCCCAGTCGTGGCGCCGCCAGTGGCACCAGCACCAGCCCCAGACTCTCCAGCTCCAGAAACACCACCAGCTCCAGCACCACCACCGACTCCAACACGCTCGGGACGTGCAGCTGCGGCAGGTGCACGCTCAGCTCCAACTCCAACACCCCCAGAACCGGCACCGCCAGAGCCCTCACCTCGAGCACCAACACCCTCAGAGTCCGCAGTGGCCGGGAGAGGAAGCGCCGACGGCTGCTGCGGAGGCTGTGAGGACGACTGTGGGGAAGGAGGAGAGACCTGGGGGGGTACCGAGGGAGGGGGGGTAGCCTGTGACACACCTGACGGAGCGGGAACCGGGGGGGGTACCGGAGGAGAGGGAGCGGGAGGAGGAGGAGCTGGGGCGAGGAAGTGGGGAGGGGGGGGAACCGGGAGACCTCGACAGGGGTACCGGACGTAGTAGGGGACGGACTCGTCGAAACTGACGTCACGAGAGTCAAAGAACCGGTGGGAGGGAGGGTGGTAAAAGGTGAAGTCAGAGGAGGCTTCAAGGAAACCAAGGAAGACACAGGGGACGCCGCGAGGTGAGAGCTTGTCCGCAGAGGTGTCGCGGACAAGCGCCAAGCAGCCCCAGACACTAAACCTCGACGCAACACCAGGGGACCCTGTCCAAAGACTGGTCGGTGAAGCCTCTGGCCGAGAGACGCGAGGCCAGAGGTTCAGCTGGTGAGCGGCGTACCGAGCCGCGTAGGGCCACAGAAAATGGGGCGCGCGGGCGTGGATCATGGTGGTGTGGGCAATCTCCATGACCAGGCCTAGCCGGCGCTCAGCAACCCCATTCTGCTGTGGAGAGTCTGGAAGAGTCCAGGACTGGGTGATGCCCTGCTCAGCACAGAATCTGGCGAGAATGCCGGAGCAAAACTCACCCCCACGGTCGGAGTGGAGACAACTGACACGACGACGACGAGTACTCTCGGTGGCGAGCAGCCACCGGATCAGCGTAGAAGTCACGTCGGACTTCTTCGCCAAAGGGAACACGGTGGTGTACCGAGAAGAGTCGTCAGCGACCACTAGAAAGAAGCTCTCTCGCTCAGGTCCAAGCCGGGAAGCGGGGCCCCAGACGTCTAAGTGGAGTGTCTCAAAGGGCTCGGAGGCTGGACGAAGGGAGGAGGAGTGAGGAGTGGCGCGCAGCCGACCCTGGACACAAGGACCGCACGGAGGAGCGGGGGACGGCGGGAGCGGCGGGAGGTCGCGGGGGAGGCCTAAGACAAGACGCTGACTGGACATAGCGCGGAGACGAGAGAGGGACGGGTGACCAAGGCGGTGGTGCCAGAGGAGGACAGGGTGGGACAGCGACCGACACGAGCACGACGCAGCCACTAGACCTGGCACAGCTACCTGACTGGACCTGGCTACCTGGTGGGACGGGGGAACCGGACGGGTGTCGGTGTGGAGGGTGTACAGACCAGAGCCCGGCTCCTGACGAAAAGTGGCCAGAGGGGCGTACGTGTCACCGTCCACACAGACTGCAGTGTCACCAGAAGGCTCAAACCAGACCCCGACGTGCTGTCTCGCCAGAGGAGCCACACCAACCAGGTTCCTAGAGAAAGTAGGAACGTGGAGGCCGGTCAGAGAACCGGAAGGGGCAGCTGGGCACGAAAGGGTAGTGGCGTGAGTCGCAATGACCGGTCCCGAAGAGGGATCAGCCAGTGCTACAGAAACCGGCGCCGAGAGTGGAGTAAGAGTCGTGCTGTCGCGGAAGAAGCACTGCGTCGCTCCGGAGTCCAGTGTGAAGGAGAGCGACGCGTCCGCCGAGGGAGCACCTGTACTAGTAGCTAGACAGGATCCTACACCAGCACCTACTCTAGCAACAGGCAAAGATCCTACGCTAGGTACAGGCAAGTAAACAGATCCAGCAGCACTATAGTCAACATCAGCATACATCGCATAAGACCTAGCATCATCCATAGACATATCAAACACAGCAACACCACGAGCAAGGAGTGGTCCCCAGCGCGGTGGCGGGGGAGCGGAGGGGCCGTGGTGCAGGACGTACAGGTCGTCGAGACGGCTGAAGCAGCGTGCAGCAGAGTGGTCAGGGCGGCCGCAGTACGTGCCCCTGCGCGGACCCGTCAGGATCCAGTACTCACAGGGACCAACGTCGCGGCCGGCCGAGCGGGGTCCCCGACTAGAAGGGGCACCACTGCGCCCAGTGCTCGGGGGGCCCGTAGGTCTCCACTGCTGCGGGGGGCCCATTGCTGCGAAGGGCCCCACTGCTGCTGAGTGCCCCACTGCTGCTGAGTGCCCCACTGCTGGGGCTGCTGCTGAGGCGGACGCTGCTGCTGGCCCTGGCGCTGCTGCTGCTGTCCCTGCCGCTGCTGCTGTCCAGGCGGTGGCAGCTGCGGAGGAGTCTGCTGCTGCTGCTGCGGAAACCCCTCACCACCGTCTAGAGGAGAGCCGTCAGGTCCCGAGTCACCCCCGCCGCCACCCCCGCCACTAGTACTACCGCCACCGCCGCCACCCGCAACACCCCCAGAACCCCCGCCGCCCTTCCCTCCCTTCTTGCCGGACTTGCCACGTTTCTGTCCGCCAGAGACAGAAACGGCCGCCGTCTCCTCAGAGGCAGAAGACGCGGCAGTGGCAAGCGAGGCAGTGAAGGTGGGAAGCTGTGGTACCGCACACCCCTCAAAGAGACGAGGAGGAGGCGCGGAAGAGGCGGAGGCAACAGCGAGGAGGTTACTCTCGATCTTCGAGAGAGCGGTCTCAAGAAGATCGATAGTAAGCTCAGTGGGGTGCTTCAGGAGAAGCGCGTCGCGGGCTGTGGCTAGACGGTCAGGGAGGCGAGTGACTAACCAGTGAATAGTGAGCCACATGGGGGGGGGTGCAAGGGCAAGCTGTTCCTCAGTGCAAGCGGCCTTGAAGCGAGCTTCAAGGGAGCGCAGGTGGGTAGCGAGGTCAGCGACAGTCTCAAAGGAGGCGAGGTCAGGGTAGATAAAGGGGACGAGGAGGCGGCTGAGGGAGGCAGAGGAGGGAGTGGAGTAGCGAGCAACAATAGCAGTGTAAAGGTCTGCAGCAGACTCGACCTGAGTGAAGTGGACGGCCTCAGTCGGCGGGAGAAGGTCGGTCAGGGCGAGGCAGGCAGCAGCGTCACGAGACTCCCACACGTCACGAGCGAGGAACCGGCGCTGGTACTCAGCCTCCTGCTCGGAAGTAGGCGGTGGGGTAGTGGGCAGCGGTGTAGGCTGCGGCGGGGCGGGCAGAGCACCGGACGCATGCGCAAACAGGTGCACGCCATCCTGGCGCTGGCTCCTAAGGTGGCGCTGGGCCTGCGTCAGCCAGGTACTAAAGTCGATCGCGCGCCCCTCAGGGTCGAAACGGAGCACGCGAGACGTCGCCATGAGGGGCGAGAACAAGTGATAGCGGCCGCCAGCCGCGAGAGGAGGAGGAGAGGGAGGTGAGTGCGAGGCGGGTGCGCGCAGGCGGGGCGCGTTCTGGCTGGGCGCGGGGCGGCGGGGCGCGCGCTGGCGGGGCGCGCTCCGGCGCGGCGCGCTGGCTGGCGTGGCGTGCGGGCGCGGCGCGCTGGCGGGCGGCTAGGCAGGGCGCGCGCTGGCGGGCGCGGCGCGCTGGCGTGCGTGCTGGCGGGGCCCGCTGGCGCGGCGCGCTGGCGGGCGCGCTAGCGGGCGCGCTGGCGTGCGTGCTGGCGGGCGCGCTGGCGGGCTCGCTGGCGGGCGCGCTGGCGAGCTCGCTGGCGGGCGCGCTGGCAGGCGAGCTGGCGGGCTCGCTGGTGCGCCCGCTGGCGGGCGCGCTGGCGGGCTGGCGTGCAAGCGGGCTAGCGCGCAGGCTGGCTGGCGCGCTGGCTGGCTGGCGCGCTGGCTGGCTGGCGCGCTGGCTGGCTGGCGCGCTGGCTGGCTGGCGGGCGCACTGGCTAAGGGCGGGGAGGGGAGGGGCGCGCCGGCTGGGGCGTGGGGTAGGGCGCTGGCGGGCTGGCGGGGCGCAGTGGTAACCCTAGTGGTAGGGACGGGCGGGCCTAGGGCTAGGAGCGCTAACCTACTGCTGATACCATGTCAGAATGAGAACTACAGCGGAATGTGTTGCATTGACAGAATTGGGGTACATAACCTAACCCTAACTAGTTGTACCCCATATAGCCCAACCCACTACAGGCTATAATATTTGACATTACAATATACATGTTCTAAGATCAACGATCCGTACAAGGGTGGGAGGGTGGGGAACTTGAAAATTGAAAAGTTCGAAATGAAACGTGGGTGAAGGCCTAATGGCCTTCGCCCCTCTTTTATACCAAAAAGTGGGGGAAGTAGCGGTTCGCCGAAGCCTTTGCTTCGGTACAACTCGCTTCGCTATTCACAATACACAATTTTCGCTATTCACTTTAAAAAATTTACATATTGTGAAAGATTGCGATTTGCCTTGCAAATGCAACGTCTCATTTCAACTGGGTTTTCTGAGACATGGGGAGGCCTGGTTTGCGTTGTCGCGAAAGGGAGCGCTGATGCTGTGATGGAGAAGGCGCGCGGGCTTCGTCTTGAAGGCTGCGAGAGGCTGATATAAGGTGCTCATGCGAGATAGTCACATAGAGGTACTTTGCTGTCTCGCTTCGCCATCGCCCGAGTCGTTTGAAGATGCGATCAGGAACGCCAGCACTGGCAGCGACTGTAGCTGCACCTTTGCGGAACGAGTGGGTGCCAAGATGGGTCGGGTCGATGCCGGCAGCTTCAAATGCTTGCATGCACCATGTTCGGACCGTGGGATACGAAGAAGCTGTGTCGTGCGCGGATGGCGGCGAGTTGCATCGAAGTACGCGAATTAGTGGCCCTTTGGAGTCCGGCCCGTATTGGGCTAACTGGATGAATTTTCGAGTGCACCGCACTGGGCAGAAGGGGCTGTCCGCTGCAGCGACGGGGACCCACATACCTTTGCCCTCTTGGTCGGTCTTCGAGTGCGGGATGAGAAGCCACATTGCCGTGTCCTCGAACTGGATGTCTTCCCATTGGATTGCCACCAGGTCGGAGAAGCGTAGGAATGCGGAGTACATGAGCAATACAATGAGGCCTTTCTGGTATGTTCTCGGCTCATTTAGCCATCGCTTGGACCTGATGGAGGGATACTGGTTCTTTCACCCGTGTTGGCCTGGGGCAATGCCATTTGGCGTACTCGCGTACTTGTGTTGTGAAGGGGCCGCACGTTGGGTTGGTGGAGTCCGTCATTCGGTGGGCAAAACTAACTGCGGCGCATGTGAGTTGCACACTTGAGACGGTGGCCTTGTGGTTGATCGCGTGTACCAGGTAGAGGGCGACTGTGAGGTCCGCTGCTGGGAGAAAGGCCACTTTGGCTTTCACACAGAAAACTCCGAAACTTTTTCCAGTACGGCTCGTATGTGTTGATTGTTGATTCCGATCGTGTCTTGGCTGTCATGAGAAGGAGTTGTTTGTGCAGCCTTGTAATCATATCTGTCGGGATCCAAAACAATATTGGTATATTAACGTTGGAAGTCAAATTGAAGTGCCAAGTTCCTACTAACGGGGAGGCCGGAGCCTGAGAAGGCACCAGTATGCGAGCCGACATGCAAACATTAACTTCCACTGGCAAGCGGAAGATACGAAGAGATGCCAGATGCCCAAGAGGTCGGGGAAGGTCTTATCAGGGGTTACCAGGACGCGCCCGTCCATTCGGGGATGATCAGCATCAACTTGGCAGCCGTGCGTGCGGCGTGGCGGAGAGTAGATGGGACGAGGTGTGGGGGCGGAAAGGTGAAACCATGTTCTGGTCCCCAATCCTGGGAGAAAGCGTTGATGGCGCTTGCCTGCGGGTGGGGGTTCTTTGAGAAAAAACGTGGCAGCTGTGTATTATTGGCGTTTGCGAAGAGGTCGATGGTATGCGGCCCCCAACGCCTTTCCAGTAGCCGAAACCAGGGGAGTTTTAGTGAGTAGTCGTCGTGGTCCTCCAGTTTGGACAGTGCGTCAGCGTCCGCATTGAGAGCACGAGGGATCCATTCGATTGCCAGCCAGATTTCATGTGACATGCAGTGAGCGACGATGGACTTGCACAAGAGGGTAAGCTCGGGCTGTCGAGAACCGCCTTTACGAAGGATGTAAAATACTCCTTGGTTGTCGACTCGAACGAGAACATGGCGGCCTTGGGTCTGACTGGAGAAGGTGCGGAGGGCCCAAAGCACGCCTTCGAGCTCGCGGCGTGTGCTCGAGGTGGTGAGGAGCTCGTGTGGCATTGGGCTGCTGCTATGTGAGCATCCGCCAGGGAAGGAGGCCAAGGTCGCACCCCAACTGTGAGCGCTTGCGTCGACATGGATCACCGTACAATGTGGCATGTGGAAAGGGGCTCCGTTAAAACGATCGAAGTGTTCAAGCCAGAACTGGATTTCCTCGCGAACCTCCCCCGTCAGGTGTACTCTGACATTCCATGACGATGCAATGTTGATAAGTTCCAGCAGGTGGTGGCTGAATGAACGCGCCGTTGTTCCGAGGGCCAACGCAATTGAAGCGAGGATGCCCGTGACTCGGACAACCAGGCGAATCGGTATCCGTTGGTGACTCTCGTAGGCATCGAGAAGCACTCGTAATGTATGCATGAGTTGGGCCCGACGTTCGGGGCCGATGGTGAATCTTCCCGCTTGGGTATCCAGCTGCATTCCAAGAAACTGCAGGTTCTGGGTTGGGGTGAGGTGTGATTTTTTGGTGTTGATCACGAGCCCCGATTGTCGTAGGTCGCGAATTATTGCACAACTTGTCGTACGAGCTTCCCGCTCCGAGGTACAGAGGAACAAGATGTCGTCCACGTATGGGATTACTCTGGTACCCTGCGCACGCCATCTTCGAGTTAGCTGTTTGATCAACTGAGTGAAAAGGAAGGGTGCCGTCGCGAGGCCGAACGGTAGCGACTTGAAATAGTAGTCCGTGCCTTCAAAGTGGAAGCCTAGGAATTTCCAGCATGATGCG